CAAGTCTTAAAAGCCACCACGATTGGAGACCCGCCTTTTAATATTCTTAATCTTTGAATTGTTTTGCATCACCATTGACAGCATTGTTAAGTTGCCCAAAGTCATTGGGTAGTGAGATGGGGAGGGGACATATAAGTTTAATAAAAAATAAGGAAATAAATAAAATTTTAATTCCATGCTTTTCAGAAGTTTCAGAGCCGCCATTCCTAGGAACCTTTGCAGGCTTCCCGTAGTAGGAATTTGCATCCAAGCTCCTGGTTCTTCTGTTTATATGTCTTGCAAAAAAAAAAAAGAAAGCTAAATGTCAAATCTCTCACAACAGATTATTGGTCCATCTCTTATCATTATTTGCTGGGACAATCCTTTTTGGAAGGAGCAGGAGGGTTGGCATAAAAGACATCTGGGGCAAAAAAAAAAAGGGGGGGGCAGTAAGTGAACAATCAAAGTAATGTTCCTGGCAGATAAGACCTGAGTGAGTCCTTGGCTCTTAGACATTCTCCTAGTTTTATGACCGTCCCATCCTTGTCTTAAGGAAGGGTAACAAACCCATAAATACAAAATATTTTTCTTTTACAAAAAAGCACCCCAAACTTTACAGTTATAATCTGGGAAGGCTGAGACCCAAGGAGAGGAACCTTCTGTGGAAAAAGGAGGACAAGCTTTGGTTTTACTTACTTATTTATTATTTTATTTAGTCTCTGGGAGTGTGTGTGTGTGTTTACTGGTAGTCGGTATGCTTGTTTTTCTGGACTTGTTTTTTTGTTTCCAAGGCTATTTTAATTGTTGCAAGCTGTGCAGAGTCACTTAGCTGAGAGGGCTGGCTATACAAATTTAATAAATAAACAAGGCTGGACCTGAAAGGGTTTGTGGAAGGAAGGAAGGAAGGAAGGAAGGAAGGAAGGAAGGAAGGAAGGAAGGAAGGAAGGAAGGAAGGAAGGAAGGGAAAGAAAGGAAGGAAGGAAGGAAGGAAGGGAGGGAAAGAAAGGAAAGAAGGTAGGAAGGAAGGATCAAGAAAAAGAACGGAAGGAAGGAAGGAAAGAAGGAAGGATCAAGAAAAAGAACGGAAGGAAGGAAGGAAAGAAGGAAGGATCAAGAAAAAGAACGGAAGGAAGGAAGGAAAGAAGGAAGGATCAAGAAAAAGAACAGAAGGAAGGAAGGAAAGTAGGAAGGAAGGAGCAAGAAAAAGAACAGGGAAGGAAGAAAGAAAAAAAGAAAGGAAGGAAGGAAGGAAGGAAAAAATTATCTAATTAATCAAACTCCCACCAACACTGACATGGCAAACCACTAGAGTATAAAATGACAGCAAACCCCCCACTCCCTACTACCCTGATGATGTTAGCTAGTTTGGTAATGAAACATCTACCAGAAAAACAACCCAGCTCTGAGACCACCAAGGACCCCCCCCCCCAATTCTAAACAATTACGATCTGTTTTCCTAACCTTAGCAATCCAAGCTAGCAAAAAAATAAACCTTAAAATAACACGTTCCTGGCTAATCATCCTTGGTTAGTTTGCTAGCCAGCCACGCTCCTTTTCAAGCTATTTGAACGTTCGTCCTGTTTCCACCTTGGGAAGTGGATCCTGCACAAATTCTCTCCTACATCGTCCCAGCCTGCTTTTTTTGCTGCGAATAAAGACACACACACACACACACACACACACACACACACACACACACACACACACACACACGTTTTCTTTCTTCTCCAGATGTGATCCAACCACCATCAACCCCAGAATTTCTGCCCCCCCCACCCCCAAGTCCTGGCAGAGCCATCACATCTGGAGGGCATCAAGTTGGAAGAAAAATTGGACCCACAAAAGTATCCTCTGGAATTTGGCAGCCACCCCCCCCCCACCCTCCCCAGCACTAATTTTTCCCTCTCAAATCCATTTGGCAGGAACTGAGGATGGGGTGGGGGGCAGAACTGACCTCATTTCCAAGTTTCCTTCCAAGGCTGTGCTCGATTCTTAGGATTGCTTAACTCCCTAAAGCGGTCCAAAACTAAGCAGATGCTTAAAAGAGGCTGAGATCTTCCTTCTCAACGACTCTGGGCCATCCCGTCTGCATAATTTAAGAGTTCCTTCCAGGGAAGACAATCTAGAACCCTGGGAAGACAATCTAGAACCCTAACCCTGATGGGTCTTCCCATATCTTAGGTGCCTCCCTTCGGGGCTTACGGGAAGGCCGGGAGACAACCCACAGAGTCCCAGACGGCCTGCCTGGCCGGGGGTGATGGGAGCTGGAGTCCACTTCATCCCTGGGACATCACTTTTTAGGGGGACTTCTGCTTTTTTTTTTCTTCTTTTCCTTTTCTTTTTTTTGGGAAAGGTTCGGTTTAAGAGCATCCCTTCTTGGCAAGGCTGCAAAGCCGAGCGTAAGCCTTTCGTCGCCGTCCGCGGCTTTTACTCCCGAGTAGCCCCGGATCACGCAGCGCCCGCGAGAGGGACTGGCCGGCGGGGATTCTGATCCCTGCGCGGCATCCTGAGCTGTCCCGTTCTCCACTACCCCCACCACCCTGCCCGGACGTGGCTCTTTCCCAGCAAAGTACCCCCACCCGCGCCCAGCAGACGCCCACTGCCCGTTTCCGCAAGCGGCCAAGCCACCCAGCCCCAGAAAGCACGCACCCTTCCACCAGCCGGCGCAATTCTGGCGCAGGTGATCAACGCGCTTGTCCCTCTTTCAACAACCCCCCACCCCACCCGGGAGGGAGGCGCAGCCATGTAGCATTGCAAGGAAGGAGAGAAAGAGAAAGAGAGAGAAATCTATCAGAAGCCTTCCAATTAGAGAGCCCCCCCGCCGCGCATCCCCTTTCCCCCCTCTTCGCCCCCCCCTTTTTTTTTGCACGCCAGGCGAGCAGATCTGCCGGGCCGGGGGGGGGGCGTGGTTGGAGCTCAGCAACCGTGTGTGTGTGCATGTGTGAGAGGAAGGGAAAGGGGTGTGCACGCGCGCGCAAGCATGCCATTCGGTGCTCCGGTGCGCGTGCAAACAGGCTGCCCCTTTGCAAAAAAAAGAGAGAGAGAGAGAGAAAAAGCCGGCTGCAGCCCTGGGACCCTCGCCCGCCACCCCCACCCCCCGCGCGTGCAAAGCCCCCCGCCTCGCGTTCCCCCATCCCAGCACTCCTCCAGTGCAAGGGGCCCGATCCTTGGCTGGTCCTTGCAAGAAGCTAGCTGGCTGGCTGGCTGGCTGGCTGGCCGGGCTGCCCCTCCCTCCTGCCTCCTCCTCCTCCTCCTCCTCCTCCCGCTTGCCCCCTCCCCCGGCTTCCTTCCTTCCTTCTCCCCCTCCCCTTTCCCCACGTTGGCTTCTATTCAAATATGGGTCAGGGGTGAGCGCGGCTCCCGACGTCACAAGCCTGCAAGATGGCGCTGGGAGGAAGGTTGTGAGATGGGAGACGCGCGGCGGTGAATCCGGCGGCGGCAGCGGGGGGGGGGACGCGGGCGGGGGGCGCGCAAGCCGGCGGGGGGCGAGCCGAGCCTGGCCGAAGCATGCCTTTGCAAAGGTAAGGGGGCTCGCGGGCGCCTCCCGGCCCGGGGGAAGGGGTCCCGTGCAGCAGCAGCAGCAGCTCGCTCGCTCCGGGCAGAGGGGCGTGTGAGTGTGTGCGCGCGTCTGGATGTGGACCTGGGCATGGATGCGCGCACGCGGGGCTGCGCAGCAAGCCGGCCGGGAAAAAGAGAGACAGAGACAGAGAGACTCGGGCGGCGTGGCAGGGCAGGGCAGCACCGGGCAGGGCGCTGGGTGCGAGTTCTGCGCCCGGAGCGCAACACAAAGGAAGCCTCGCAGCTGCCCGAGTCCCGGCCGGCCGGCCGGGCGGAGGAGGCGATGCAGCTTTTGCGCTGCTGGTGACCCGCTGCAAATCACCCTTGGGGCGTCCTCGCCCTCCAGAACTGGGCTTTTGGGGGGCTGGGGGTGGCGTGCAAGAATTGGGGTCCAATCCCGCGCCCCCCTTCCCACTCGAGAACGGACTTGCAAAACTTTGGCGGCGCGAGCGAATGGCATGGCTTGCCTGCGTGCGGGCTTGGCCCCGCCGGCTGCCTTCCACTCTGTGTGTATGCGTGTGTGCGCACACTGTGGGTGGGTAGGTGCGTGGGTTAGGGGTGTTGCGTGTCTTTTTTGCGCTGCCTGGTGGCTCAGCCGGGCCTCCGAGGAGGAGGAGGAGGAGGAGAGAAGGGGGGGTCGTGCGACCCATTAGCAAAGGCTACCGCAGCTGTGCTGGTTGGGGGTCTGCCTCCGCTGAGGAGGGAGGGAGGGAGGAAGGGCGCAACCTCCCCCCCTTTTGGAAGGAACTCCCACCCACCCACCTACCCCCGCTGGGGTTCCCGCTTGGGCAGGTAGTTGCGAGCCGAGTCGGGGTTTTTTTTTTTTTGTTTTTGCAAAGGGGAGAGATTTGGGTGGGTGGGTGTGTCTCAGGCAAGGCGCGCGTGTATTTGCACGCCTGCTGTTGCCCCGAGTTGGAGGGTGGTAGTGGAATAAAACAGCTGCGGGGTTTGGCGGGGGGGGGTGGGGGGGCTGGAAGGAACGAAATACTTTTGGGTAGGAAACGCAAGGGGTAGGATTGCCGCTTCCTTCCCCGGTGCAGTGGGGGGCGCTGCGTTTCGTCCCTGGTGGGCTTGAAAGGTGACCGTCCCCACGACCTTCCCCCCCTCCTTCTTGACCGCGGACCCCCCCCCTGCTTCCCCTCCCTGAGATTGACCTTTGCCCCATGGCTTCTTCCTTCTCTCTCTCTCTCTCTCTCTCTCTCTCTCTCCTCTGTTAAGATCTGGGAAGCTTATTTCTCCTAGATTCAAAGGGACTAGAAACCTAGAGGGAGGTTTTTTTTTAGTGAGTGTGTGTCTCCAGCCTGCAGCTCTGGTTTGCCTTACCCCCTTGCTAGCCCCTTCTCCCAAAATGGGGGAGAAAAACCTATGGGGATGGCCTGGGGGGGGGGGAGTTTCTTCAAAATAGGCTGTGTGTGTGTGTGTGTGTGTGTGTGTGTGTGTGTGTGTATTTCTTAACCATCCCTCTCCGTGCTTTTAGCTTTTACCTTTTCCAAACAGGAAATCTTACTCCAAATAGGACATAATGGTTTTTGGACCATTGGGTTTATATGTGTGTATGTTTTTCCCATGTCACCTTTGAGAGAGGGCCATTTTTTTTAAATATCTGCCTCGGAGAAGATGTGACTTTTTTAAATGAGAGAAAAAAAATGTCTGTCAGGTCTCTAACTAATGGGATAATATTTGCAAGAGAAAAACGGAATTGCTGAAGGTGTAGAATTCAGCTCAGGAGAGACTTTGACTTCATTTCAAAAATGGGGAAAAAGCTAATAGAAAGACTTAACTTTTCAAACATTCTCAAACTTGGGGATACCACAAATGGCAGTTCACTACTCCTGTAGCAAGTTTTTTTTTTTTCTTTTTATCTGTTTTACCAGCTGGCACTTTCTGGTTTTGTTAGTTTACCAAGCGCCTTCGGAAGAAGGAGAGTTTGTAACTTTCCATTTAAAAATTTCAGTTCTCTGCTATTTTCTTTCGGTTTCCAAACAAATTTCTTTGGTAAAAAAGAGAAGGTGACTGTCCTAAAGTTTAACAAAAACCTCACGTTTTGTCGGCTTGGTGCTGGCATTCCCTGCAGTCTGAAAGGCGGATATATTTTTCTATATAATAAAAAGCTGGTTAAAAATCTCCTGCTTGTATAGAGATGCTTCTCGTTTTTTGAGGGGAGGGGAGGTAAAAGAAGGAAGATAGAAAAGCCCTTTAAAAACTGGATCAATCTGCAGTTTTTTTAATTGTTAAATGCTAATTTAGTAGAATGTTTGGCTATTCGGCAGGGCTGATACTGTACTAAGAAGAGATGTTTTGACAGTGGCAAGGATTTGTGCAGTTTTAATAAGGAGATCTTCGTGGGTCTTGAGTGTTTGTGCGTTACTTCTGCTTTGGTAGTGTCAGTTGCCGGTAAAGTGGGGGGGAACTTCCCCTCCTTTGGACAGTTGTCAATTACTTGTATTGCCAATCCTGCTGGAAGTAATTAATTGCAGTGCTAGCACACACACACACCCAAACACAGGCATAGGGGTTAGACAATTTCAAACCATGTTGGCTTATGATCTAGGACTACAGTCCCACTTTAGGACTGTATAAACCAGGATAACCAAAAGCAGCCAAAAAGCAAAGCAAGTATTGTCGTCTTTAAGATGGATCTGAACTTCAAAATTTCCGGATTTTCTTCCTTTCTCTGTTTCTTAAGGAAAATAACGCAGCTTGCTAATGAGAATAAATGTTGCAACTATACCTTTGTGTCTTTTTTTTTTTTTTTTTGGACAAGGTTGACCATCCTGTGGAATAATTCCTCTAGCTTTCTCCAAAATGTGTCTTGCAACTTCCAAGAAATTTGCACCATTGTTTTTTTTGTTTGTTTGTTTGTTTCCTTTAAGAACTGGCAACATAAAATCAGCTTGCTTAGTATTCATTTGAATTTCCCCCCCCCTCTTGATAAGTATGGGGGACTGGCTGAAAAGATTTTAATATCTTTAAAGAGCTCGTTTTGAAGACCCGGCGCGCGTAAACAGTGTTTAACTAGATTGGGGTGGGTGTGTCTTCCTAAAGAGGAGAAAGGAAGAAGCAGTTTGGTGGCCTCAGTTGCTGAAGCCCACACTGACGATGTTGGCCGTGTGGACCTGGTGGTGGCGTTGCAAGTTGTTGGCCCTAAATAGGTCAGCGGGGAAAGGGTTGTTGTGTTGATTTCTGGAGGTTACAGTTGGTTGGTTGACTTTCAACTTCTGGAGTTTGACTTCCCTGCTCTGGTTTTCCGGATTCTCTTCAAGAGTGGAGGAGACCATGGTGTGGAGAACGTCTTGACAGCGAGGTGAGCAATGGGAAGCCCACGTTTCTTTCCCTTCTTGGGTGGTGGTGGGCTATCTTTTGAGCGTAGTTGGCTGGTGATTCTGGAGTTTTGAAAAGCCACCCCATCCCCGACGGACTTTCTTTGCTGTCTTCCTCCTCCATCTCCACCTCTTTCTCCTTCTCATGTTCCTCCACTACCATCACCACAACTTTTTAACTTCCTCCTTCTTTTCCACCATTTTCTCCTCTTTCTTTCTCCTCACTCTTCTCTTCCACCTCTCCTTCTCTTCTTCCTTTTTCTTCTCCTTCTCGTCTGTCGCCACCCACACGACTACGTCTCCACGGCCACTTTTCTTCCATTTTCATTTCCTCCTCTTTCAGAGAAGTTAGCTTGTGATTTTGGAGTTTGAGAAAGCGTCTCACCTACTTGGTGTAGGGCTTCTCTTTTTTATTTCTCCTCCTCCTCCTCTGTCTCCATCCCCACTACTTCTCCCCTTTCTCCTCCTGGTTCTCCTTCTCTTCTTTCTTCTTTCTCTCTCTCTCTCTCTTCCTCTCCCTCCTTCTCTTTGCCATCTCCATTTCCTCATTCTTTTCTTCCATTATTGCTGCTGCGACTTCTTTTCCTTCCCTTCTGCCACCCCCGCTTCTCCTCTTCCTCCTCGTTCTTCTCCTCTTCCACTATCACCCCTTCCCCTTCTTCCTATCTATTCCCCTGTCTCTTCTCCTCTCCCTCCTTTTTTCCCCTTCACCGCTTCTACTTCTCCCTTTTCTCGTTCTTTTCTTCTGCTGTTACCGCTACGACTTTTCTTCTTTCTGTTCCTTCTCTTCCACCACTACCACTTCTCTTCCCCCCTTTTCCTCCTCCTCCTCCTTGCTAATTTTCCTCTGAAAATTAGAGAGAAGCAACCTGGAATTAAGGAGAAACTTCCTTAGAGGGAGGACAATTAACCAGTGGAATGGCTTCATCACGGGAGGCTTTTAAGAAAGGACTAGTCTGAAATGGTATAGGTTCTCCTGCTTGGGCAGGGGGCTGGACTAGAAGACCTCCAAGGTCCCTTTCAGCTTCTATTCTATTCTATTCTATTCTATTCTGTTCTATTCTATTCTACTTCTGTTCTATTCTGTTCTGTTCTATTCTATTCTGCTCTGTTCCGTTCTGCTCTAATTCTATTCTGCTCTAATTCTGTTCTATCCAATTCTATTCTATTGTATTCTATTCTACTTCTGTTCTATTATATTCTACTTATGTTCTAGTCTATTGTGCTCTGTTCCATTCTGCTCTAATTCTATTCTATTCTGCTCATTATTCTATTCTATTCTATTCTATTCTATTCTATTCTATTCTATTCTATTCTATTCTGCTCATATTCTGTTCTGTTCTGTTCTACTTCTGTTCTGCTCTGTTCCATTCTGCTCTAATTCTATTTTATTCTACTTCTATTCTGCTCGTATTCTATTCTATTTCCTCTTCCTGTTCTTCCATAACCACCGCTGCTACTACTGTGTTGCTCCCTCCTCCTGCTCTCCCGTCTTCTCTTCCTCCTCCTCCTTCAAAACAGCCCTTTGGAGGCTTTCCTCGTCTTTATTCCTCTTCTTCCAGTGCTACTACTTCTATTTCTCCTTCTGGTTCACCTTCTCTTCCACCATCACCCCTTTTCCTCTTTCTTTCTTTCTTTCTTTCTTTCTTTCTTTCTTTCTTTCTTTCTTTCTTTCTTTCTTTCTTTCTTTCTTTCTTTCTCCTCCTCCTCCTCTCCATCCTCCTTCCCCAGCACTATTTCTCCTTTCCCTCGTTCTTTTCTTCCACTGCTACCGTAGCAACTTTTCTTCTTTCTTTTCTTTCTCGCCCATCGCCATCGTTTCTCTTCCTCCCCTTTTCCATCTCCTCCATAACCACCGCGGCTACTATGACTTCTTTCCTCCTCTCCTCCCTCCTTCTCTTCCTTCTCCTCCTCCTCCTCCAAAACAGCCCTTTGGAGGCGGGGTGTTTTTTGCTCCAAGCGGGGGGGGGGGGGAACCTTGTGCCTCCTTGGAAAACAGCTTAGTTCCAACAACTCCACAGCAGATGTTGCCTTGCAAAGGTTTGGGCTGGGCGAAATCGCATTTGCCATTCAGCCATTATGTGGGCTGTGACAGCCTTGGCTCAGTGGGGTCTGGAGAAGTGGGGGGAAGGGCTGGGCAGAAAGGGACGGTTTTTATTCCACTATCAGCGGACACCCCCCACCCCCCCCACCCCCGTCTGCCTGGTTGTGCCCTTGGCAAAAATAATTAACCGGGCTTAAGCCGGCCGTAGGGTGATAACCAAGATTGGCTATGAAACCGAACCGTTTCGAAACAGAAGAACTCAACAAATTTAACTCGGCCAAAAGTGCTGAAAGTGGAGTTGCAAACTGGAGGACGGGTGGCTGGATGACGGGTCCATAGCGGAGGTTGAAAGTCGGACCTTGGAGAAAGTGATAAAACAAAACTTGGAATATTTGGGAAAAGGGAACGGTTCGATTCGAACTTATTTTTAAACCCGTGGG